CCCAGCGCCATGAGAACCTCCTTCTCGGTCTGGACTGTGGTGACCATGTCTAGGGGCTCCCTGCAGGCCAAGCAGAGTCGACCACTCTCTAGGGGCCGAGCACTGGCTAGCGGAGGAGCAGGCCCAAGGCAGGCAGGAGGAAACGGGCTTAAACTGCACGAAGGAACAAATGCCTTCCTCCACCGGGTGAACACTGGCTCTTCCTTCAAACCTGACCTGAGTCTCCCCTCCTCGAGGGAGTCCTCCCTGACGCCCCCGGCTCCCTCCTGAGTGTCCCCAGCCACGGGGCCTCTGTCATGACACCGCTGAGCATGTCACTGTCTGTTTCCTACCAGACACCAGCTCCTCCTGGGAGTCTAGGTGACACCAGAAGTGGGTCCAGAAATATGAACAAGAAGGGAAAGAGGACCGCCCGGCGGAGGACACAGCACAAAGGTCTGGGGGCTTCCACTTGGCTAATGTTCAGGGAACAAATGGACAGTCGACCCCGCGAAATCCAGGGATTGGGACCAAGTCTGTCCCCCTAAAGTAGGCCTTTAAACCATCACACCCCCTCAGGATGTCCGCCAGGCTGCCCCCAGCCCCGTGGCCCCAAACACCTTCTTGGGGTCCATGTTGAACTTCTTCCGGCCCATTGCCATCTTCCGGTTCCGCTGCAAGGTCTTACTGCAGAGGCAGAGAGCAGGGGGGTGGAGGGTCAATGTCTGGGCAGCCCTGGCCCCTGGCCTGGCCCCACGACCCCCCAAGTTCCCGACTCCAGTCCTCACCTGCCCTCATTGGCCTCTAGACCCTCCACCTCGCTCATGGCTTCGCTGAGCTCCTCGCGCAGGCGCTGGATCTCCACCAGCAGCTCCTGCTTCCGCCGCCGGATGTTTTCCAGCTCCATCCGCTCCTCTGGAGTCAGGTCTGGGGGCTCTGGGGGGGTCAGGGGTTAGATGGAGGTCAGTTCTGGGGGGACGGGGAGCCTGTTTTCCTGCAACCTGGATTTTTACAGGGCTGGGGGGCATGACCCCTGGGTTCAGAGGGAGGGTGAAGATGAGGGTCAGGCCTCTTATGTCTGCCGGGGGAAGGGGCTGGGGGCCTGGATTGAGTCCTGGGGAAGAAGGCGGCTGGAAGTCTGAACTGTGGGCTCATTACTTGCAAAGGGGCCGAGGCCTTGGCTTCCTACTTCCATTCTCAGCGATGCAGCCGCGGGCCTGGGTGTCCGGCCTCCCGGGCCCATGAGAAGTAACTATGGCAGGGGACGCTGATGACAGCTCGCGGGAGTTGGGGAAGGGGGCGGGGCACCAGAGGCCACGGTCTCCGGGGGGGGTCTCTGGAGCCCCAAGATTTCTCCCTCACCCCTCGGCCCCCAGGTGCCCCCCTCCCTGCTCCCAGCAGCCCCTGGGCTCGCCCGGCCCCTCCGGGGGGGAATGGTTCCGCCGCGGCCTCCGCTCCACCGCTCATCCCGCCCCCTCCCGCCGCCACCGGAAACAGGATCGGCCCAAACAATGGCCTGGAACGCCCCGCTCTCGGGCCCCGCCGGAAGCCCATCCCGAGCCCCACAAAAACGCGGCGGCGGCGGCGGTGCCGAGCAGCTCCGAGAGGCGCGCGCCGGGGGCAGCGTTCGCGGCGGAACGTGGGGGACAAGGGGCTTCATCCGCCCCTAGCGGGCCCCACCCCTCGCCGACCTACCGTAGACGCCGTCCTCCATGGCGGCTAGGAAGCCCCGCGGGGAGTCCGGGGCGGTCCCGCCAGTCGGGCCTGGTTCCGCGTTGGCCCGCGGGCTCGGGTGAGCCCGCTCAAACGCCCCGGGAGCCACCGCCGCCTCCTCAGCGCCAGTCCTCAGCGCTGAAAAGACTCTCCCTTCGCCTCCCAACCGCCCCGCCAGTAGGGACCGCCCCTCGTTTTGACACCGCCCAATCCAGTCCGGGCCCTCCCGTCTGCTCCGCCCTCGATGCCGAAGGACCGTTCTCCTGGGCCAATCAGCGCGCAAGGAGCAGGCGTAGCAGTGTCGGTCGGAGATAGACGGCCCCTCGGACCAATCAGACTGCGGGCCGAGGGCTGGGCACCGCCTCTGAAACAAAAGAAGTCACGTGGCTGGCTTGCCCGCCTATGAGGAGCCCCGGAAAGGAATTGCTTGGAGGTGGGACTGCGTGGGAGCCGTGAGGGCTTCGCCGGAGCCAGGAGTTTGGGCAACGGGATGCGATTTCCGCCGAGCCCGGCGCTAGTGGAGCGTTGCTGGGGGTCGGCACTTGTTCCAGGGGGCGGGGCCCCAGCTGTCGGTTGTTCTCCGAGCCACAGCTCCTTAGCAACCAAGCTTCCTTTTGACGACAGCTGTTGCCACGCAACCGGGAGCAGTTTTGGCTCACTTTTTTTTTTTAATTTAAATTCTTTATTGTTGAAAGTATGACATATGTCTCCTTTCCCCCCATTGACCTCTCCCTGGCCACTCCCACCCCCAGCACATGCCCTCACCCCTCTGCTGTCCGTGTTCATTGATTATGCGTATATGCATGCATACAAGTCCTTTGGTCGCTCTCTTCTCTCCCCCTCCCCCCCCCAGGCTCACCTTTCTTTTGGCCTCCTTTCTCCCTGTCTGGCCCCTCCGTTCTCCAGATCCTTTTCTTACCCCCCTCCCATCCACCCCAGCCTCTCCAGAGTTAAGAAGTGGTGCAAAAAACACTTATTCTGTCTTTTCAATGTTACACTATTTGGTCCGGCTGGCATGGCTCAGTGGTTGAGCGTTGACCTATGAACCTGGAGGTCATGGTTCGATTCTGATCAGGGCACGTGCCCCGGTTACTGGGGCGTGCAGGAGGCAGCCAATCAACGATTCTCTCTCATCATTGATGTTTCTCTCTCTCCCCCCCTCCCTTTCTGAAATCAATAAAAAATATATATATTTTTTAAATATTATGCTGTTTGGTACCTGTCAAGGAGAATGGGATAATAGGCAAAGGCCAAATATAGTGAAAGCACAGGCCCCGCCTTTTTGGCGCCATCTAGCTCCTCCCTTTATTGTAGCATCCTCCCCGGACAACTCCCCTTTCCTCAGCACCCTCCCACCTTCTCTGATTCCTTAGCCCCTGCTCAGGGTCCTTTCCCTTCTCTCCAACTCGCCTCACTTCAGGTGCACGCCCCCCCCCCCCCATACTCTTGCTCCCCTCCCTCCTCTCAGAGTCCTCCTGCATCTGAGGCCCTAACCCCACCCCACTCTCATTCCCAGGCCTTGCAGCCAAAGCAGGTGCAGGACCCTGAGCAGAATGGAGAAACCGGACACCCTGTCATCGGCAGGTCCCTCATGGGGTCTGAGGTGGTGTCTGGGACTTGTCCTCATTCACGACCCATGAGCTAGGCAGGGAGAGACAGATTCAGAGCTGGGATCTGGTTAAACTGACAGATTAGACATGGAGCATCCTAATCTCACTGACCTTTAGGAGTGGCCCAGGCCCTGCCCTCCCCAGTGGAAACCCAGGCTGGGCCAACCACGACCCCACTCTCTCTCCTTCCAAGCAGAACCCTGTCCCTGTCCCTTCACCTCACACTTAGCATTCTCCTCCGCCCCTATTTCTATGGTCCCCAGGCCCTATCCCAGAATCCCTGAGCTAGGGGGCGGGGGCAGCCAGCTAATTAATCCCATCCGGTTATTACGTGGGGATTCTGAAGGATCAAGGGAGGCGGGGAAGCCAGAAGGGAGGACCTGGGTTGGTACAGCACCTGGGCAGGCTGGGGGGCAATGACAGTGCCCGCCCTCAGTCCTGGGACACAGGGGTGGGGACGTATCCTCACAGGCATTGGTTCCTTTAGCAGCTGGCTCCCTGCCTGCTGGGCACTTAGGTAGATAGAAGCATGGGCAGAGGCCAGGCCCCAGAAGCACACTCACAGACACACCACCAGGCGCCCATGGTTTAATCTGGGGGACAAGGCTCCCCCTAACCACCTACTTGCCCCTGGTATCCAGAGCTACCTCCTGTCCGCCAAGCTGGACGAAGGAGGCGTTGATTCTGGCCCGTAGCCACAGCCCACACTGCACCCAGCCTGCCCTGTCCTTCAGATGTCCAAACTCAGAGCTGGCCTCCAAGAGCGTCTCCCATCCCTGGGAGGCCGTGCGTCCCGGCACCAGGGAGAGCTGGGAAGTCTCTAGGACCCTCCCCCTCACTTCCCCCTCCCTGAAGTGAGGAACCATTCCTGTGGAAAGGCCCTTGGAGAAGTTCAAGTTCCAGTGCCCCGTTGTTACAGATGAGGAAACCGAGGCGAGGAAAGAGGAGTGGTGTGCCCAGTCACACAGTCCTTAAGCAGAGCTAGGATTTAGAGCAAAGCTTCCTGGATCCTTATGAAAGATCCCATTCCAATGAGCTCAAACTCCATTTCTAACCCTTCTGTAAGAACCATGGGGTGGGGGGAAATATATATATCTGTATTTATATTATATACTAGAGGCCCGGTGCACAGATTCGTGCACTGGTGGGGGGCATGGTCTGCGGGGATCGACCCGCTGTGGGAGCACACTGACCACCAGGGGGCAGCTCCTGCGTTGAGCGTCTGCCCCCCTGGTGGTCAGTGCGCATCATAGTGACAGGTTGACCGGCCGTTCTGATCGTTTCACTGTTCAGTATTGGGCTTTTATATATATAGATCATACACACATATATTACATCTTTAAGAAATAGATACACATCACTAGGTGTAGGGTTCCAGAGCATTGTAGACTCACCAGCCATGGCCCCCTCCCTTCCCTTGCCCATCCACTAGCCCTGTTACCCGCAGGGTCTTGTCTGGGCCCTCACCTTCAGGTCAGCCCAGAAATGCTGTCTATCAAGTCCTGAGTCCAACTGTTACAGGAGCCGCTTAGAACTTCCAGGTTTCGATCACGGACAACTCTGGCTCCCTGAAGCCTTGGTTCCTTTTGGCATTTCAGAACCACAAAGAAGTCATCTAGGATCGCCACTCCTTCCCTGACTCTGTGGTCGATCCAGAGCCACGGAATCTTGGCTCCTTTGGACATTCTAGAATGGCACTTTAAAAAAACACACCTGTGGGTCATTTAGAAGCATCGATTCTCCCCTTGCTTTGACGTTCTGTAGCCACTGGTCTGGAGTTATCTAATATCAAGAACTCCCCATCTGTCACTGCAGTCCTAGACCAGCAGACTCTCCATTGTTTTGTGCATTCTAGAAACACAACTCTTTAGTTTTGGAGTACTTATACTATCTAAGGTCAGTCTAGATCAGTGGTCGGCAAACTCATTAGTCAACAGAGCCAAATATCAACAGTACAATGATTGAAATTTCTTTTGAGAGCCAAATTTTTTAAACTTAAACTATATAGGTAGGTACATTGTTATTAACTTCATTAGGGGACTCCTAAGCTGGCCTTTGCTAATAACATCCTCAATCTGATTGAGGTACGTTCGCTGAGGTCGACCCCTTCCAACTCTCCCATCCACACTCGTCTTGTATACTTGTTTCGTCTTTCCGAAAACCGACTTCTGCGCATGGGCCACGAAGTTTCAATCGCAGTGTACGTGCGCACTCGCACATGGTATTTTGTGGAAGAGCCACACTCAAGGGGCCAAAGAGCCGCATGTGGCTCGCGAGCCGCAGTTTGCCGACCACTGGTCTAGATGAACAATCTCAAAACATGGGCTTTCTGGAATCGCAGGTCTTTTCTTGACTGGCAGTCAACATTCCAGGTCCATCAAGTTAGTCCTGAATTCTTGGAGCGTTCCATACTTTTTCCTCCTGAGGCGGTCTAGAAAAAGATGACTTGCTTCCTGGTTGGCTGAGCCAAGACGCAAGAGTCCCTTGAATATTAAACCAATCCAGGCCTATAAACTCTCGATCTCACTCGCTGCTGGAGAACTGCTGACTTCCTCCCCCAGAAGCAGTCTATGTCACTGATTCTGGACCCTGCTCAACAACCCACGCCAGCCATATAGAAGAATCTAGAACCACCAGTCCTTGCCTCTTGGGTGGTCCAGGATCCAGAATCCTGGATCCCTTAGACTCAGGAATCAGGCCGATACAGGGGTCTCAGGCAGGAGCACACAACACAGAGGAATTAAGATCCAGTGTGTCCACGGTGGGTCCACTAGGCAGGCAGAACTTCACCAGCTAATAATTTACCCAGCAGGCCTGCCGGTCCCAGGAGAGGGCCCGGGCTCTCCGTTTTGCTACCTCTGGGAAGGGGATACAAATGGGGGAACACCAGCTGGCATCATGGGGGCAGGGTCAGAGACAGGGTGGGGGTGAGTCCTCGGGGGCTGGCAGCCCCCTCTTCTGCCTCCGACTCATCTCCCTCCTTGGCTTCCTCTTCCTCCCGGCAGCAGCTCAGAGCAAGTTCATTCTCGTAACAAAATGCAGTCAGCGAGTCAGGGAAGCTCGACTTGGGGCTGTGGGAATCCCGCTCTGCCCGCTCATCCAGCTCCTTGGCGCTGCAGACCGGGGTGCCCGGGACCTCGTAGGTGCGGTGGAAGTGGCGATAGTCCACCTCATACTGGGAGCCACGCTGGAAGAGGACGGGCTCAAAACGATGGCCCCAGAGCAGCTCGCCGGGGAGATAGGAAGAGCGACACTGCGTGGTCATAGCCGTGGCCTCCACCATGCCCTCGAGAATGACCACCAGCTCGAAGTCGGCCCGGGCCAGCTCCGCACGCCCCAGCTCATAGAGGGGACTGGAGGAGTCGATCTCGTGCACGATGGTGATGGGAGACACCAGGAAGATGCGATCCGTGCCGCCATCGAAGCCCACGTCCACGTCCCGGTGGTCCAGGGGTATGTACTCCCCTTCGGGGGTCACCCGAGGCTGCAGCAAAAGACAAGGGGCCCAAGACAGATGCAGGGAGATGAGAGGAGACAGAGATGATGAGAGAAAGCAATGGACATGCAGAAAAGGAGAGG